GACACCCACTGAAACTACATTGAGGTGAGGGACAATCTGGGACAAGACGGTGATTCCATCTCTGTGATGGAGGTTGTTATGAAGGTAGCGCTAAAGCTGTGCAGAGAATGGAAGTTCTTTTTCCAGGAGCATTTAAGAAGTCTCAGAATGTATCTTCACCCTGAACTATAATGATATCTTCTTATGATATTCCATTATACACTACATCTTTGAAACAGCAGTGATTTCAAAATGAAAATGCAGAACCTTTTATTCAGAACATATTTAAATACCACACTGTAACTTTTTCCTGTTTTCTTTCAAAATTAAGGAAAACTGGTACGTTTTTGAGAAAAACTTTTCATTTCAGTTGGTTTTAGAGGATGTTCCAAGAAGAGAGGAGAGAAAAGATGTTTAAAGAAAAAAACCAAGATCGAACCAGAAGTATTCTCAAGAAGAGTGAAGTGTTTTTTATTTTTCCCTTCATTACTTTCTAATTTTATTGGTTTCTGATACCTCATCAGACATTCATCAGTCAACTTTTTAATTTCAAAAGTAAACAGCTGTGATTCTGAAGTTCCTCTACATAAGTGCTTTAGTGAAACAAAAGGGAAAGTAGACCACAAAACTAAAGCAGAATTCCTCTTTCTTGTGCAATTCCAGCTCTCAGCTGCAATCTCTAGACTACCCCTGCCTAGGGATTGAAATGGTATGGACATACACACAGGAAATTTCTGTATTTCATTTTGGATTAAATTTTGACTTTTAGCATGTTACTTCTAGAAATTCATGTCTGCCAGCACAATGCCGTATAAGGAGTATTTGGATTATCCAATTTACACCAATAATATGACTTCTTATCAAAGGCATCTCAATCAAATTGCAGAGAAACCCAAAAGCAACAGGACGCAAGCCTGCTTAGCCGCACACACCATAAATTTCCTTGGCATCTGATTCATTTTTTAGCAAGCTAACCACAACCCTGGAATTTCCACTTGCTCCTGCTTTCTTGAATGCTTTCATATTTCTGCTGGCCATTTCTCTTCATGTTTCAGGGTTAAGAGCCACATAAATTGATCTTCAACACTGTGCACCTCTTCCGTGAAAGGTCACAGGAGGAGTTTGTTTTACTAACCTCATCATTTCAGGAGGTCAGAATGGGAAGCAGATAAACTGGATAGCTAGGATGATGTGGCAAAGAATGGAATAAACTCTGAGGTGCAAAGAGATGAGATGGTGGAAAGAAACAGCATAAAGGATGTTTATGTAGGAAAACAGGATCAGTCTCACACCTGCAAACACCACAAGCAAGCAAATAATCGTAACGCAAAACAGTCAGCAGCCCTTTCCATGGTGGAGTACTTCTAAATTTAGAGATGCTAGCAGGGCTACCAGACTTTGCCTGAAACTCTAGCTCAGGCAGTAATTCTAATTCTAAAGTGGAAGTGGGTATTTTGACTTTTCCAGTTCAGGCATCCTATTCAGATTTCAGTAAGCAGAAATAGCTTTTAGTTTATTAATGAAAAAGTGTGCAATAGTATTTACAAAATGGAAGCTGAGAAGCAATGTTCCAGAACGAGCCTGGCCTGAAACTTAGCTTAAAATACATGGGACTGCCAAATGTGAATTTGAAATTGTTCTGATAGATTAAGAGCAATATAGTTTAGAGTTCCTAAAAGACATATCCTGCCCCTGAAATAAGAAATGTGTCCTGGATTATCCTTGCAGTCTCGTGATGTCAAACTATCAGAATGGAAATCGGGGACAGCCACCAAAGAAAGCCTTGATCTGTTTTAGAGCTAATGTAGATTGACCCAGAACTAGGGAAAAAATAAGCAGAGTTCAAAAGAGCCTTACGCTTTGCCAGCATCATCATAATTTCTTATGTAATTAAAGACCTAACACAGAACAGCAACTTCTTGAAACATTATATTTTAAATTATTTTTTATGTTCTTTTAATAAAAGCCATAAATAAAGCACCATTTTTTTTTTAATTTTATGGGGTTTTGTTTGTTTGTTTTGGGTTTTTTTGTTTGTTTTGTTGTTTTTACTGTCCTAGGGTTTTCGTATTTACAACATAGGCACTGCCAGCACTTCAAATGTAAATATACATTATCAGGAAGTACATGCAGACAAATGAGAAGAAGGTGGTTTTATGAAAGACATCAATAACATAAGGAGACCAAAATGATTAACTTACAAGGAAGAGTAAACTACCAACCTATGCATATTTTAACTAAATACTGACCAGGAAGGCTGTGATAATTATGTCTAAGTACGTGGAGGCTGTAAACATCATGAAGAAAGGGAATAACTAAGAAAAAATATCTTTAAAGACTGAAGAACAGGAAAAGTACCTTGGGCATGAGCATGATTAAGATATGAAATAATAATCACAGGGAAGCATTGAGTGCTTACCATTGGATAAAGCACTGTAGAGACTGTTATAGGGAACTGTTCTGCAATGGCAGGATACAGACTAGATGAGTTAGGGTTTTCCTCACTCTCAATTCTATTATTTCACTATATTAATGTCAATAACAGTGCGACAGCGAATTCCACAGAACATTACCCAAGTGTAATTCTGCAACCTTTTTTTTTTTTCCTTTTACAAATAAAATAGTAAATTTATCTGCTTTACCTCCTAACCGGTAACAGTTTTTCAATAGGATATTATTCGGACTTGAAAATTCTACTAGTTGGGTAGTTTTGGTAAACAAACTCATTGACTTCATTTCAAATATGCTCATTACGACACGGAAAAACCCAAAACCAATTAAAGACTATTTTCATTCAGAAACTGTAAACATATCAAAACTATTGCTTTGAAAAGACACTGCTGGTACCAGCAAGAATAGTACGCACCTCAGAAGGAAATACTGCCCAATGCAAGTGTTTTAGAAATCAAAGATGAGGAAACACAGGGAAAAGGTACCTTCTTGATGGTTTCCAACATCGACCGTCCTCCTTGCCAGGGTTTAGAGTTCTTCCTGATGCAGGTGAGGCTGGCCATGCTGTGCCACTTTCTGTCCTCCAGCTTCTTATGAAAGGCATTCGCCAACAGGAGGACAGTGTCATATATATACAGGTTTGAAATCTGCAAAGGCATTGAAAGGGGAGTAATTAGCATTATCATTTGTGGTCTCCTGTCAGCACCCAGTATTTATCATTTGCTTTGCCTCACTCATAATCCTCTGGTAATCAAATGACTTATTTAGCATTAAGAAGAAACTGTAAGAGTCAAAAAGTCATATTTTTGGCTCTGGTAAAAACTGCAACTAGGGGCTGTCACACTACAAGTGATTTGCAGCCACAAACTACACATGTGAAATACAGGCAACCCAATCACTGGCATAACTCCGCATGCAGGATTTAAAGCCCTGCTCATGAGCGTAAACAGATTTATTTTTAACCAGTTGCCTGCAACTTTCAATTTTTCAGTCACCAGATATTTGGACACCATCAAATTCTCTTCAAGATTGTTTTGTTCTTTTGAAAAAGAGAGACTCTGAAAATTTAAAATAAATAATTTCATCATGGGTTTTGTTCCTGATTTTTGCCATCAATTCTGACTGAGGCAATTTCTGGAATGAAATACGATGCAATGAAATCTTTCTCAGTGTGCAGCTGCATGTCGGTTCTGCAATTTGTAGTGTTTCCTGTCAGAATATCTGGCATGGCTGTTAATTCCTTGCAGTACAAAACTCTCACTGAGTAAATGTGTATTTGTTTCACCGTGAGGACAGTTATGCACATACGGCGTGAGGAAGTTCCAGTTTGGCATCAAAGAAAGAATGGCTGAACTCAAGAAATTACTTGTGTAACACTTCCACTTACTCATGTACTATTTCTATATATGTACTTTTAAATGCAACACAATACAAAGTTAAACGTGAAAGATACAATCTAATGTAAAAGAACAGAATCTCAGAATTCATGAACATTTCTGAAACAAGTAATTTACAACATAGTTTTATTCCAGTCATTTCTGTCCTCAAATGGCAGGAACATTGAAGTTCCTAACACTGTCATAAAAAGAAACCTCAGCTCTCCTGAACAGAGGTTCTTGGGAAGAGAAATGATGTTCAGAAATGAGAAGGACCTTTGGGAATATTATTTTTACATAATCTATTGGTCATTCAAAGCCACAGGGCCTGAAGTTACGGAGGGAAACTCAGTTTCCTCAGTTGCACTAGGAAGGGGCTGTAGAGCATTCCTAGTGCCTGACAACAAATTAGCCAACAGCAATTTGCTAACTGAGGCAAGGTTGCTGGTGTCTTTTCTCCATTAGTCACAGACAAACCAAATGACATTTTCCAGATTTGTGGAATATGTTGACTGCTCTGTGTAAGGGTTTCTCCATACAGATGGTCTGCTCAAAACCTTAAAAGAAGGAAGCTTACAATACGAAAGTATGCCAGCTTTGTGGAGAATGCCCCTATTCTGCCTCTTAAAAATATCCGAAGACTGGGGAAGTCCTGTGGCCATTGGGAGGGAGTGTATGCCAATGAAGCACAATAATGCTGAAGATCTGAGACACAGATTGGCAAATCCACACATCACCTTAAAAAAAAAAGGGGGGGGGGGGGGGGGAGGGGAAGAAAAGCTTCTCTTCCTGCCTAATTACTCCTTTCCATATAACCTAATTTTTATGTTTTATTTTCTTATGTAAATTTCATCTTTATGCTGGCTTTGCCTGTGTCATCCATAATCTGCTCCATACAGTTCTCACAAGAAGGTTTTGTGACAGATTCCTTCCCTGCCTAGCATCCAGGAAGGAGGTCGTCTTTTTCCTTACCTTGCCAGAATTTCCTGAGGCATTTTTCCTTCCACAGTTTATTGAAGGAGATCTAATGGTCCTGCTGCTTCCCCTCCTGATAAACTCCTAGGATCCTTTATTGCTTGCCTTTACAACTCTACATTGTTAGTACCCCAAACGCACAGAACTACTGATCATTATTTCCCTTTTTGTTTAAATGATAATGATCCTTTGCTCCCTCTTTCTGGAAGTCACTTCTTAATTCTTACTTGAGCTTCTCCCATGACTCCAGTGGCTGTGAATATTTCCATTTCTGTATTCACCCAGGAACTAATTTATTTTGTGCAGATGCACAGGCCAGGCATCACTGTGCACAACAGGATTAAAAGCATGGATTGAGGATCTGGGTCCAGATTAATCAAGTATTTTTAAAGTAACTTCGATGCTTTGTCTGTGTATTGTAAACCTATGAAGAATTCAAAGCATTTCAGCTAAAACAGTATTTCCCCAAGGAAGTCAGCATCACAGGGACATTTGTTTGAGGGGAAGAGAAGGAATATTACTATGCTGTGAGGTAAATTTATTTTACATAAGCCTTGGCCAAAGGAGAAAAATAAACAAAACCTCCAGAGAACAGAGACAATAAGGTCACTAATGAGACTAAATCAGTACATGAAGGGCTACAGATGCGAAGTCATAATTTCCCAACAAAATGACATTGCTTTCAAGGTACCCTCCATAACCTAATATCATGGGAATAGAAGACTATCATCACAGTTGATGAGGAAGGATGCACTCACTAATCTAACAGCAATATAGCTGGGCCTTCATCAAGTATTAACAGGGCTCAGGAGTACAGAGTTCAGCAATTATTAAGCATTGTTATTCCTTCATTAACAGTTCAGCTTAGCTTTTACAGCAATCACTGATAATGCAATGTGTGCTGGTTTTGGCTGGGATAGAGTTAAATTTCTTCACAGTAGCTGGTACAGTGCTGTGGTTTGGATTTGTGACCAAAGCAGTGCTGATAACCCAGGGCTGTTTTAGTCACTGCTGAGCAGGGCTTGCACAGCCCCAAGGCCTTTTCTGCCTCTCACCCCACCCGCGAGGAGTTGGGGGGGGACACAGCCGGCACAGCTGACTGCAATGACCCAAGGGATATCCCACACTGTATGACGTCATGCTCAGCATATAGAGCTGGGGGAGAAGGAGGAAGGGGGGGAGGTTGGGAGTGATGGCGTTTGTCTTCCCAAGTCACCGTCAGGCGTGATGGAGCCCTGCTGTCCTGGAGATGGGTGAACACCGGCCTGCCCGTGGGCAGTGGGGAATGGATTCCTTGGTTTGCTTTGCTTGCGTGTGGGGCTTTTGCTTTCCCTATTAAACTGTCGTTATCTCAACCAATGAGTTTTCTCACTTTTACCTTTCTGATTCTCTCCCCCAGCCCACCACAGAGGGAGCGAACAAGTGGCTGTGTGGGGCTTAGTTGCCAGCTGGGGTTACACCACGACAAATGACAAAGACACTACAATTAATTTCTGCTTCTCAAAATCACCCTTCCCTGTGACTACCAGAAGTATGCTTCATTAGTAACTGTCCCAATGCACAGAGTGGGGCTGTAATTTGAAGTCACTTTACACTGTTATTCATTTATTCCCATGTAAATTTACTGGGACATTTAACGCATTGCCTGGTATCCATTACTGATTCTTTGTTTATTCCAAGTCTTAGACTAATGGCTGGACACTTGCATTAGCAAGAAGTATCTAACTGCATAACCTCCCGTTGATGCAATTCAAAATTCAGATGTGATTTTTTTTGTTCCAGTGTGTAGAAGAAAGGTATTTAGCAATCAGCTTAAGTATGAGCGATTAATCTGGATTAACGGTGTTTATTTTATGTATACCTAAGATATTGCACATAGTTTTTAGACAAAAGGGTTACGGTACTAAATACTTCTGTGAATCCAGTTTTTAACTTCCCACCTCCAAAATGACAAAAATTTACAGAAGTTGTTTCGACTAGGACAATCCCAGAGACACAATGAGAGATATTCACCAAAATGTTTTTCAGTGTTTTAATAAAGATGCTGAAAAAAAATTAATTATTCACACAGACTTTAGGGGGAGTATTTCAGAAAAAATAAATCAAGAAATCCACCCTTAGAATTTCCAGAGAATATTTCTGATTAGTCACACTTCGATGGCATAAAAAAAAAAGCATTAGAAATTTCAATTTATAAACTGTTCCAACTCCCCACTGGAATAGAAGTTAATTTATAATATTGGGGAAAACAAAGAAGCAGCAAACAAACCCCACAGCTACTCAAAGGTCTGTGCATTCTACGCAGACACAGGGGGAACTGCCAGAGCTTTTCTTCCTTTCATTTTTTTAGTGTTGTCTCACTCAGCTACTAACGAAGTGCAGCCATCTCGGGGAAAGCATGAAAAAAGCAACTCAACTGTGCAGAACAGTTAAACCAGTCAAGCTTCCATCATTCCTTTGAACCAAAACATTATGAAAGCTTTCAATAGTAATATTACAGCTCTCCAAGCTATAGGTTGATCAAGAAGCACAGGTTAAGGTATAAAGTCCAATCTAACATATTAAATGGATTTTTCCAATTTGTAGAGAACAAACTTTGATTTCTAGATCTTTTCTTTCTTAGACTCAGTTCACTGTTGAAGTGAAAATGAAATGAAAGTGAAGTTGAAGAGAAAAATAAATAAAAATGTGGAGCCTCCCATCAATACACAATTCTTGTTTTCCGCCTTGCTGTAGTCACTAACTTTCTTCATGAAAACTGCTCTCTGCAATCTCTAGTGGCTGCATGTAATCACACCCCCAGTTTTTACGCATTATCCATAGACTACCAAAGTTCCCCCTAGGACCATGTTGCCATAACAGAATGGCGCAACCTAAAGAATTTTCACAGTTCCTAAATAGCCTCTAGAGATATCCTATGCATCTATTGACCTTACACAGCCCTGTTTAAGAATTCTAATAGGATCACTCTGCAGTGTGCTATGGTCAAAGTTTTTCACGTCATCAACAGTTGCTTACTGACTGCTTTGTGAACAATTGGTGAGACAAAGGTTCCTACAGGTAAGCTGAAACAGGGCAAGACCAGCCACACTTCTCCTTCTTCTCCTCTTACATATTTTCATTTTAAGCAAGGACACTCTTCAACACCTCCCTATTTCTGTCCAACTGTTTTCTCTTTTTTCTTTCAGCATCACAAGAGGACTGCTCTTCGCTGCTAAGTCAGATATGCCCCTCCTGCACCGCTGCCAATGTAGTCAACTTTCCACAACGTCATAAACGACCATGCAAAAAAACCCGAAAGTAAAATTGACATCTTAAGCCAGTTTCACACTCCTGATTTGCCATACCTTTGTCATGATGAAATCTCACCAGATATACAAAAGAGATAGAGGACTTGCTCTTGGAAAAACTATGTGAAGTCAGGAGGACAGTGACCATGATCCTGTTGCTGATTTCATGTGGTAGGAAGGTTCTTATAGTTTAATTGTGATTTGTAATTAACAACCTTAAAAATAAGGCCTTTTTGGAACATAGGCATAGATCTAGGTACATACAACCGTGACACTTGAATGACCAAAAAAAAAATTAGCAGGGCAACAAAACAACTGCCCTGCTGCCCGGAGATCAGGTGGCTTTTTTGGACTTTTTTCTCAATTGCTGTGCAGTGGACAAGTTGTTCTTGTCCATCAGTCACACTCACTCCCCATCCTAGTATTTTCTTGTCATGCCATGATCTATTAAACTATATGTTAGAGAGGACATGAAAAATAAACATTAAATCAAAACAACTGCCCTGCTGCCCGGAGATCAGGTGGCTTTTTTGGACTTTTTTCTCAATTGTCCATCAGTCACGCTCACTCCCCATCCTAGTATTTTCTTGTCATGCCATGAACTATTAAACTATATGTTAGAGAGGACATGAAAAATAAACATTAAATTACACTAAGCCCCTGTGGAAAAACCTTGAACTTATCTAGAAAGAGAGTTCCCAGGTGGGAATAGACTGGTATATGAACTACCTCCATGCTTTGGGAGAAAGGGTCCTTCGGATCACACAGTGATGAAGATATTCTGTGGTTGCCACGGAAACAGCGCTGACTTATGTTTTGGGGGACTGGAAATGTCTGTCGAATAATTGTCAACCTTCCAATTGACCTTCTCACCAGCTCCTGCACGTCCACATCATTTATTTCCTGGAAGATAAGGCAAGGGAGAGAATATGCATAAAAGTTAAAATACAGAAATGTTACCACCAGACTATAAATGAAAAATAAACAGAGAGGACCAAGAGGCATGTGATTGCTACACAGCTATTGTCAAGCTCTGCCACAGCCTCAAAAAGAATGTATGCATGCTCGTTAAATCAACTGACACACCACCCTTACAATAATTGCAAAAATTTAAAATGTACTGTGCCCAAACCTCACCAAATCTTTGTAGATGTAACCAGGCCTAGTTGTTTCATTTTGAGTTTCCTCTCCCTCTCCTTTTACCTTTTATCTTTTACTTAAAAGTGTTTTGCAGCATCCTTGGCAGGTAATGTGTAAATCAGTAGGAAGTCCTACCATGATGTATTTCTAAGTGTAACATTACTTAGGAGTTGTGAAGGTACAGACAATTATTCAGGCCTTAAGTGTTCATTTCCTGGAAACAGAGTATCAAGAACCTATAAACAATGTGCAAGTTAGTAAACATCATTTGCCAAAAGGGCAAAGAAAGTGCATTAGAGCATTCTAGGTGTGTATGTGCTTGTTTAAAAGCAAGACCTAATTTTAAACCAACTTTTTACTCCATAGGGTACCTATTAAGGCTTACAGCTGAAGACTCAGCTCTACAGACACATACTTTCAAGAAAAAAATAACTAAATACATCAATGTGTGAAATATTAAGCTTAAAATATTAACTTCAAGGCAGGTTAGCGAAACCAGAAAAACAGTTCTTCACATTGTATGAATTCCTGCAGTTTGGGAACACGGTGTTTTACACCACCGAAGAATGAGGTCCTCGGGGAACACGGAGCAAGAGGAGCGTGGGCTCATAAGCAACAGCAACCGACTCCAGCCTTCACATGAGAACTTGAACTTTAGTTGAACATGGACTTTTTCTGATGACTCAAACAGAGTCAGCTGGTAGTTTTCAAGGCAGTTCTGTGTCTGTGTTTTTCTGTAAAGCAGGAGTAATAATCTACAAAATTGCTCATTCCTTTTAACTAGAATCTCTTTTCCATCACGCTGAACTGTTTGTCCATAATCTGTCTTAATTACAGAGGCTGATGACCCAGACTTTCTAGACATTTAAATTTGTGGATACCCCTTCAAGGAGCTTGAACAGCTCCTGTTACCAGCCTGCATTTAACACACCCTTGCATACAGCCATAGTTCATTGAATGTTTCTGACTCTCATTTGTGTATTTATAGTCTTTCATTTTTTACAGGATACAGCATGTCTCTGCTGTTATACCTGTAACTAAATGCCGTCATCTTCTTTTGCCTCTAACCTCCTGATCTATGCCCGTAAACAAGAACTTAGGACAGGAGATAGACTTGAACTCAAGTTATAGAATCTTTCTTGTCAAAAGGAAGCCAAGCTTTTTGAAAAAAGCAGCTCTTTAAGTGTTAAGACAACTATCCTTGTAATTTTGGCTTTTTTTGGAGCTTCAGTTAACATTCTTTAAATTAATTATTTGAAGAAATTTCTTTGGGCATACTGGTATTGGTTTATTTCCTTTCAATTTTGGAAGAAAAATACATGAGATGTAAATTTTAACTTCTACTCTCTTGACTACAGTAAAAGTATTTTATTCTTCTTCACAGATTGTCATAGTTTCTGAATTAATCTGTTATTAATGTTCTTTATGAAATATAGAATTCTCTTTTTTCAAATGAATATAACACATGGCATCAGCTGTGTCCAGCATAATATCTTGCATTTCTGGTCGATTAATTTGTAATGTACCACAGATAATGGTTTCTCTCAGCTTAAGATGCCATCTTTTCATTTAGTCTGTATCATTTCACTAGTTGCAAGGTAAAAAAAATAAAATGCTGTTTTAGCAAAATGCATGTGATTTTCTTCATAATACTTTCAATATAATCAGAAAGGAGAGCTCAAGAAACTTCTTATCGTGATTTTAAACTATACCTTTTCTCAGAGGATTTAAAAAAAGTTTGCCTGGTTTCATTATACACCATGCCCAAACAGCAAGACTATTCGGCTGCTTCTAATAATGTAAAAACCGATACCTGCATGGCCATGTTACATTGCTAAATAATACTTTAAAAGAGATTTTGACTTTTGGCTGCTCAAACATTTATCTTTTCTGCCTGAAAAGTGTATTTATTTTTTCTATGTTCAGCATTCTTTGGTGCATTTTAATTAAATTAAAGCGTTCTCATTTAACCTTTAGGTTACTACCTCGTATTTTTATACATCACCAGAGAACTAATAACAGAATCTAAACACCAAAGAGGTTTTTGTATGCTTGCCAAGAAGGTATATACCTCAATAGATTAATGACAGCTATTATTTTAAATGCTGTAAATTCCACTGATTATATCATAAATTCAGATTTTAGGTTAGCAACAAAGCAATGCCATGCAAACCCAAATTCAACTTCAGTCATTTGCTATTATTTCTTTGTCTTTTTTTTTAATATTTGGCATTGACTGAGTGACAAGTCTTTTATATAATGACTCTCCAATATCATCTCTCATTCTTGAATTTTGGATCTGACTTAAGAAAACTATATAAAGCAACTATTGTATGAGAGGAAACAATTTTCATTTGCACTTCAAAGGAAGATACAGTATAATGATATAAGAATGGCAGATGATCTGTTATACAAGCACCAAATGTCAAAAAAATTACAAAGTTGGCCAAGTTGAACTGAATTGGCACCTGTATAAATTTAGGTTAGGTTATGTGGTTTGGGTTTTTTTGTAAATCAGGAGTTCCATATATAATTCCAAACCTTTCTTTTGTTGGTCTGAACTTGGAATAAAGGGGAAGCTGTCCTATTTCAAATGGAACAAGGGTAAAATCAGATGCACATTTTGTCCAAGTAGGCAAATAAATAAGGAAAGAAATGCTATTTTAAATTAATAGCTTTCTATAGATAAATTAGGAAAAGGGAGTTGAAGAGGATCACTTCAAGATATTAGGCAGAGTCTCCAGTGGGAAGCAAGACTGTATATTGCACACCTAATATACACTGCTGTTCAGCTTTGTCTCATTATTTTAAGATAAGCAACCTGGGCAGAATCTTACTATTCACCACAGAGCAACCACACCAGTAGTGAGAGACATGGAGGGAAAGAATTTATTCTCATGCTCTTGTAATAAGCACCAAAGGCAGCAATACCTCTTCTTATGAAAACATCTTAACTTTGGGCCAAGAAGATGATTCCAGTATTTATCATGTCCTAGACATGCCCTGTTTTCCAGTGCATGCCACATCTACATCACATCTTTCATGAGGCTCAGAGAGGAGAGTGTTTTTTCCTCCTCCAAAAGCCAGCAGCAGTGAGCAGGGGCAGAGCAGGAAAGGGTGACCACTGCACACCCCCCTGCGGCCCCCGGGCCCACCCCATAGCATACTTGTGTTATGCCCATCCTGAATATCTCAGCACTTTCCAAAGAGGAGTAGTTGAGGGGAAGGCATAAGTAGATGAAGCTCCAAGACAAGTAAAGGGAAATCTGGAACTGCATAATCATTGTCTCCACTATATCTCCTTTAGGTTTCTGAGCTGCTGGGCAGGATGATGAAACAGAGAAAATTGATAGGACAATGAGAAAACAATTTTTAGCTTTCACAGAGAAAAAAAATCCAAGGGTTTGGAGAAAGCAGGGCTAAGTCAGTCTATCCATTGGCTCTCGCCCACCTGAAAAAACAAGGTGGCAGTTTGGTCACCAACCTGTACCAAAGAGGGTAGCATTTCACACATGACCTGCTGTCACCATTGGAAAATGTAAATGTTCAAATGAACTTCTAATGCTACTATTAATCAATTATCTCTATTAAAATGCAGAATTATATGAGCTCCTGGAACTGAGCTGTGATTTTAAGAACTGATTTAGCTGCTCAAGCTTAAAACATTGTCATGCTCTATGCTTTTCTTCGTGGTGGAGTGCATTGGGCTGAAACACAATGAACAAGCTGAATGCATTGGCCAAGGACCAGCCTCTCCTAGGAAAAACATGTGTTCATCGAAAATAGCTTTTCAATAGAACCTTGTGGGCCCCCCAGTCCTCTCTTGTGCTATGATGGGCAAACCTGTTGGATCTTTTTCCATAAACTGTTCTTTAAAAAGCTTTGGGTTTTTTTTTCATTCTTTCCTCAAAGAAGGAGTTTTTCCAGACTCTGATGTCTCTGGCAATTAGAAACCTTCTGCTAACTTTTGCCCTCAATTTATTCATGGGCAATTCGAACTCATTTGTTCTTGTGCCAACCTTGTCCTCTAGCCCTTGACAATGATGCATTTATTCACACTCCCTATGTGTTTAAAAACAGAGAGCATATTCTCTTTCAGTCTCTATTTTCATAGGCTAATCAAGCCAACCTTTTCAGTCTCTTCTCACACAAATCAGCTTTTCTGTGTACCCGTTTCATTCTAATTTTAATAGAGCTGGTCATAATTGTATCCATTATTGCAGATGAAATCCAATCAATCCTTTGTATAGTACTACTAATATTTTCACCTCCTGTACGGTAACTGTAGGCAGTGGAAAGTGTTTTGGGATGTCCTTGAGAGAACAACAGTAACGGAGAACTGGTGGCAGACTTGGGCATAGTAAGATGACCCTGAATGTTTTAACAAAGGAAAATGCTTGAGAGAGACAAGAATTTAAAATTTAAAAAGGACATTTCTTTCATTTAAAAAGAGCAAAAGAAAGAAAAGTGATGAAAATCATACAAATGCCTCTTCTTTAGTTCCACTAAATAAAATCTAAGCTTACTGTACACTTGTGATTTAAGAGTCATAGAAGAATACAATTTTACTAGGTTGGGCTTTGTGAGGTTATATTTACTATTGTGCAGAGGAAAAGAAGAAAGCAGAGACAGATAGACAGAGGGAGAGAGAGTGTGAGAAATCCATTCTCACATTTTTTAAGGTATATTTGATCATGACTACATTCAAATCTATGACTCCTGCAAATTTTAAATAAAGAATTGCACCATCTGCTTGAAGGCCCTGAAGTAACAGGAACATTTATTTGGAGAGCATTTCCTTAGCTGACTGCACTGATCAGAAGAGATTCGTATTATTTGCAAAGAACTAATATACTGTATTATGCTTTAGCAAATTATGAATCCTTTCATTTTATGGGAACAACCCCCCTCCTCCCACACATGCATTTCCATTATGATACACAGTCTTCAAGCAAATTTGCCCTATTACATAAAACAGCAACTAATGGGACAATAAAAATTAAGGAACTCTTTCCAGGCATTATAGCATTTAAAGCGAGCAATTAAAATAACAGATGTTACCTCACAAAGCCTAAGCAGATTCCTGATCACAAAACTGAAGGTGGTATTTCCTTTTGTATTACTATACTCGGTGTGATGTATCCCCTTGGCACAGTGATGGAAAAGGAAAGACAATTCCAGCTTGTTTTGATATCTCAGTGCGAGGAATTATTTCAATCATACGTGGATTTTGCAAAACAATGCATTTTTGCTGTAATAGATCATCTTAGAATTTCAAATTAGGAGGCCAGAGAAACAGTGTTACAGTTACTTAGTTGACAATCTGATTTAGCCAATACAGGCACACAAACACAGATATCGAAGTTGCCTAAGATGTTGCAAAAGATTCATGTAAGCAATAAAATGGGCAGAGCTCTGAGATCATTTCACAGTCATATGGAAGTACCGTGGTCATCAACAGCTAATGGGCAACCATATTAACTGGACCTGGATGTGAAGATAGCTGTTTTACATACCACACAGTAAGCAGCCCGTAAATCACTCCATTTCCAAATCTTGTGCTGCCGAAGTGGAGGCATTGTGATCTCATTATTAAACTGGTAAAATGTTGCAATAAGCAAGTAATGTTATGCAACTTTCATCATTCAGGAAACATTTACATTTCTGTTGTAATTTGAACTTAGTGGTATGGAAAAATGGGGCAAAACATGATTCTTTGCATACAATTATCTACAAATCTCATTTATTGCTAATCTGGATTTTGTGTCCACAAAATATTGAGATTATCAGCATTTTGAAACAAACAGAGCTTGAAAGTAATTTACTTAAGTGGGAATATGAATTTGGGTCCAGAAGCAGATCAAGCTGAGATGGCATTAAACATGTTCACCTTCTTTAAAACTGACAGCAGGAAGAGATATATAGATTTTAATGACCATGGTTTACAGCACAGTTTGTCAGAATGAACTTAATTGTGGCTTTCACCCATTTCACATACAAGACTATAAAACTAAGGAGGGATGATGGATGTTTCTCTGCATACATTATTAAGCGCTCTCAGCTGTTGAGAACAGAGCCCAAAGAGTTTTGGAGTGGAGAAGGCAGTTGAGTGGTAACCACTTTGATTGCTCTGCTCTTTAATCTGCTGCAATGTGCAAATAACGATGCTCAGAAAGCAGATTCTTTTCCAGAGGCACTAATTTCTGAATAAAAAGCAAAGAGAAAACATGTACGCTAGGAATGGATCCTCAGTTTTATTTTGCTTTTTGAGGATGGAGGAGGTGACACAGCTAAAAGCAAGCACCTTCTTTTGAACTTTCTAATTCAAACAACATTTAAAATGAAAAACCAGTGGCAGTGTCTTTAACTTGAACAGCAAGCCAATATCTCGGCTCTGCCTAAGAAATCATTGTCTAATCTACTGATACAGAGGTTAACAGTGGACTGCTTTAGATTCACTTAATCTTTTTAAAATAATAAGTGTTAACTCTAAAGAGTAGACATGAACACTCTACTTCAAGATTCCACTTACTACAAGTGAATTCTAGTTTAATCTGGCAGGAAAAAGAAAACCTGTATGTTGTTCACATGACAGTCTGTAGCTTAAAGCTGGGTTCTCAACCACTGAGGCCCCATTCAGTGCTGGAAAACATACATATTACTGGTCAGGAGCAATGCAGGGCTCAAATCAATGATTTCTGCTGGACCCAGGTTGTCTTCACAGCGCTTTCTGAGGCATCATTTTCTCCAGGGAAAACTGGCTAAAAATCCACTAGTTTAAATGAGTAGGCCAAAGCACAATCGCACTCAACAATATTATACCTTGCTATAATCTTGGAAAAAACCACTTTGGATTACATTACCTCATTATTAGCACACTGCACTAATGAAAATCTAGCAATTAAGTAAAAAAACCAGAAGTGTACAACAAATCCAGAGATAGACCCGGAATTTACAAGCAATATCTCCAAGAATCTTTTATCCTGAGAATATCTAGGAGTCGCACAATCTACATGTTAGGGGAGAGTTATCTCCCCAGGAAATTCAGCCTTTCTGGACCTAAATTGCTTTTCATAAAACAAAAGAAAATTCTGAATGTCGTCAAATCTAAGAATAACTGCATTGTTCAATGTTTTATATGCAAAGCTACTTCACATATTGACTTGTCATATTTTAGCTGACAAGCGTTCATGGAAGAATGTATTTCACAGTTTAAAAATAGGATCTCAATTTAACTGTCTGTCTATTTTCCCTTCATGAACATTCATATATGACCTGATCCAGAAGTCCACCAAAAAGCCTCCCACTAATATCAATAGGTCTAGATATTGAACATGACTGAATTCTAGGGGAATTCTTAAAAGAAAGGGAAAGATGGGATTTTCTTCTTGTTATTTTTATTATTAAGAAAAATCATTAAAATAAGAACATTGCACAAGCATTCCACTACGAAAGACTACGTATGAAAAAAGGCCTTAAAAAGATCCTCTAAAAACAGTCACCTTAAGTCAAATGCAAAATCTCAAGATACTCAAAAGGAAAGGATTTTTTTTCATTATATTTCTATTTATTTATTCAAGGACTTCTGTTTAAAACAGGCAAGACAAAACAGTGAAGTCCAGGAACTTGTCATTCGATTTTTATTAAGCAACATCCACTCCCCCAGCATGCCTGAACTTTGTTGTAGTTACTGCTTCCTGTTGGCAAAGTCAAGATCAGCATGAATATTGTCAGCAAGCCTGAAAACAGGACTTGTGGTTCACAACAATGTTCACTTGACAGTTACCTCATTTATAATGATCCAGTGACAGTCAAAAGCAACCAAATTAGTCTCCACGACCTGAAATAGAGAACAAACCAGCTATCAGTCAGCTTGCATGTAAAAGCCAGAAAAAAAATTAAATGCATGCTCTCTGCAAATGACAAAAACCGAAGCACATGCTCTTGAAGACCTTTGTTATTCAACTGAGGACAGAGAACCTTCAGCAAAATTCTGCAGAAGCATTTGTGTTATTGCTTGACTTGCTAATTAAACTTGGAGAATACATTTCATTGCCAGCATCACAGAAAAGAATATGTTTCAGTTGACTGAGGAGAAAATGAAATAGTTTTTGCCTTAACATTGTGAGCTGAGAGGAAGGCAGAAAATGAATATCAAGTAACTCTTGTCAGATTTCTGCAGCTCCTGCCTCTAAGGCCTTTCCAGTGTACACACCTACCCTGGAAGCCTGTGAATTAAAAAAAAACCAAAGCAAACCCAAATGAAGAAAACCCACATCACAAATGCTGGGGTTCGTATAAATGCAAAGAGTGGGGAGGAAAGGGCTCTCTTGAGAAAAAGGGCTGTCACAGGGATGATGAATGATGGCCTGTGCCAGGCTCCACGCAAGGACAGCCTCTAATCCTCCTCCCACCCATCTTCTCCTTTCCTTTGCCGAAAATTATTCCAGAAGCTGCCTCTGTGCTGGACTCAAAATGTACTTCCTAACTCACCTTTCACTTAGCCCTATTCTTTCCCTCCTGGAATCTGCTACACTTTTGTGGTGAGTCATGTTTGATTCACCTTTGCAGTGGAAACAAAGACAGAAAAAAATATACATTTGGTCTGCTTTCATTACCTGGGAAAGAAATCATCGACAGGAGGGAGGCCAGAAACAAACTATAGAAAAGGCTGGACACTTTTAAATATTTTTTTTCTAAATGAAATAGAATTAGCATTGACACCGAAATAGTTTTAAAATCAAATTAATCTCATTTTACTTGTGTAATCACCATGCTCATCATGATTCGCAATTCAAAACTACTGGATACTTAAAACTGCATTGAATCCCAGAAGAAAACGACGACTAAAATTGAAACAAGGCTTGGAACTTAATGTTTTAATGTTCAAGTAGATGACTAGTGCTGGGCTGTTATTACTTGGACCATTGCACAGCAGTCATGTTTGGCTTTTAATGACGACAAACGCAAATAGCGGTTGCCAAGGATGATGGCAATTTATACTATGCCATGTCCAAAGGAGAACAATTTTCTGGTCACAAATCTTAAGAGCAGCAAAAGACCCCACACTGATAACCTCCATTATTAATTCAAAGGCCATTAGAATCGGGGTTGCTGCTTATTTACAAGAACGATAGGCAAGACGAGAAATTCTGATTTGAAGAGACTGGGGAAAAAAACCGAGAGCAGCAGCATACGAGCTGACTTCTTATTTGAAACTCTCACAGCACCAGTAAGAAATGAGGGGAAAAGAAAGCCATAGCTGCTAATGTGATTCTGGAAAATTTCAATGTTATTATCAGTAGGAATCACTTTATGTGGAATTCAGACTCTCTACTCTTTCTCTGTGGTGACAACAGTATATTTTGTCATGTTGCTTTGACATTTTCTTGCATTCTCCATAGTAGGAGCCCACATGGCACATATAAAGGAACAGGATAGAAACTGACTATCTAAGTGATGGGAGGCATCACAACAGGCCCAGCCAGGATGCTTGAACTGGAGCATAGCTGTTCTAATGAGATCTCCCGTAACAAACCAGCTGGAAGACAACTACATCCAGGAACAGAGAAAGGTTAAAAATGGACAGAATAATAACAAAGTTCTCAAGGGAGCATTTGTTCCTGATATAAAGTTCCCAACCGCAGAAAGTTTATCCCATTTATAACATAAGCAACGCCATTTAAATTTTCCGTAAGACAAACCAAATCAACACCTTACTGAAGCAGAAACTATTCTGCTAGTTAATCTACGTACATTTCTGCTGAAAGTAAGAAGAATTTAAAAAAACCCAGCACATCTGACATCATCTGGTTCCGTGTCAGGTTCCTGGCAACCTTGTCCCTCCTAACTTCTGGCTCCAGGATGTCCCTCCAGTAATGTCTGCCCTACCCTAATTACTCTTCTCAAGATGAGGTCTCCTGACATTTCCGTGGCTCCGAGGCGGTCTACCAGAGGGACGCCCTTGGAGTCCAGGCTCCCAGTGGTGTTAGGGGAATGACAATAATAATTATGTCCCTAAAGGGCTCCTAAGCTCTTTCTCTGCTTCAGAATGGCAGTCAACCAAAACTTCAGAATGAAGGAATCCACAAAATGAAAATTCACATTTTCTGCTCAGTTTTTAATAACACAGTAAAAGTGGAGTTGATCACTTCTTTGCACCTGAAGCTTTGATCAGATTTTAATGCACTTTATCTTCCATTAAAACTTTGGTTTCAGTTCATTTAGTTTCTTTCCAAATACTTTGTTCTGTGTATCTACTTTGCCCAGGCTCTCAAATTTCAGTTAGACAAGGCCTTTTCAACAGAGTATGGTTCTAAGTGTCACTGTTTTTACTATGTGGAGCTCCCAGACCACTTAAGTCAGACTGGAAGTGGCATACTGGTCTCACAAGTCACTCTTATTATTTCAAACAGCTCAGGCTATCTGTGACAGATTTATTCACAACTTGCAAATAATAAGATGAAATGCATCCATTTTTTAGTTATGGTTGAAACTCCTCAGCAGAAAGATCATGTTTTATCCATTAAAGTTTATGCATTCATGAACCTACTTAATATTAAAGCCATTTTCAAAAAGCTTATGACAAATTGAGATGAACTTGTAATGTACTCAGAGACACTCAAACTAATATATTCTAAGTTTAGATGGGCTATGAATAGTCCCTGATTTAAGAATTCACTTTCCCTTTCAGTCTGCCAAAAGCTGCTTTTTGGCATTTTCCTTAGCCCATGCACCCAAAGCTTGTTCTAGTATTGACAGTGATTGCTTAAAAAGACGACTGACGATGCCCTGAGAAAGTTGCTAGATTTTTTCTTTTACATTTTATGTTATTTGACGAAATACAGTTTTACATCTAAACTGGGATGCAGCATTAGACTGGGATGTCAAGGTCACCTTTTTATCCTTGGGTCATTCAGTCTTATCCGATGAAAACCCAGTCCCATCGATACCACTCACAAAAGAGCAGTCCTTTTCAGCAGAATCAGGATGCTGCATCTCAGGCCCTCACCTCTGAACATCTCTTCTCCCAGTATGGCCTACATTGTCCATTTAATTGACTTTAAAGTTGGTCAGTGCACATTCTGACCATGTCTGTATGAATTGCAGGGCACTATACTATTATCATCATCATTAATAACCTTTTGATATTTTGCAATTATTGTTTTTCAGTGTAGAAGAATGCACAGGCACATCCACTGTTTTACAGAAAACAAATAATTACAATATTATGTAAACCTTCAGTTTTGATGCTTGAAGGAAAAGGTTGTTCAATCCTAAAGTTTTCTTCAAAGACTGACAGTAATCATATGCGTAACCTCACCGTCAGAAGATTCTCTTGATCAGCAGTTATTAAACACAAGTTTACAAGTTCAAGATTATATTAAATCAGTAATAAATAAATAAATAAATAAAAATATCTAAAGCCAGCAGCAACACAACCTAGGTCCAATTATCCATCAGTAAAACAGTCATTACTTGGACACAGCAAGCCTTTACAGTCATGACACAATGTTCCACAATGCCCTTGTCTATCTACTGAGTTTGCTCTTTTGTTTACTTACAAAAGCCCCTGCATTTTCACTTGGAAGGGATGGTAACAAATAAGATTAAAGTAAAAAAAAAACAACAAGCCAAGAGAGCACGGCTGGTTCTGCTTAAAATTGATCATAATCTAAAAGTGCATATTACATAGCTTCAATGGAAGTATACAATGCAGGTGTGTAGAAGGTTTCTGTGACTAATACGTTCAGAAAGTTAAAACACATATTTGTTATCTGAGTGATGATCTTTTTCTGGTTTAAATCCACATCTGCATGCATACCAAGTGAGCTGGCATGAAGTTGCGTTCTGTGTCAGGGAACAGCAAATGTACAAAATAGTGTATGCAAAGGCACAAGGGCAGTAATGAAAAAGAAATCTGATATCCTGTATATTAGCAGCAATAAAACAATTTGATGGGGGCATGTAGGAGTTAGGGGCTCCAAAACCCCAAGCACTTGAATACAATGCAAGTTTTGGATTCACTCGCAGGTTCTGCTGGCTCTGTGACACGAAGCAGTGCCGCGCACTCCTGAAAGGCAAGGGACAGGTTGGAAATTTCCATACAAGACAGAAGGCAGGTGAAACTATTGTTTATGCAGCTCACCTCTTAAGCTAAAACTGGGAAAGACTAGAGTGCGTATTCATAGAGAGGGCTGAACACCAAAATCCTACACAGATATTAAATGGAGGAGAGTTGACCCTTTGCAAAACAAGAATTCAGCTGTGGGTTACTAAACACACAAAGCTATACTCAATGCAGAAAGCTCTCTAAAGCTAAACGTAGCTGTTAGCTGGGAGAGTATTAAGAGACAGTGTCATATAGAATCATAGAATCATTATGGTTGGAAGAGACCTCAAAGATCATCAAGTCCAACCGTATACCTGATGCCTACCCTGTTCTTAAGACACTGAAACAGTCTTTGGTCTAACTCAAGATGGGTGATTTTGTGCTTCCAAATATATTTTGCCATCTTAACTGTGATGAATCCTACTAGCAGTAGCTAAAAGCAGCAGAAATGTACTAATTCTGTATCAACTGTTATGCAGTTCAGTCTGGTTTGATGTACTGAAAGGGTAAATATTTGAAGCAATACTAAAGAAAGCATTTTGTGCAGTTGAGATGGCATTTCTGCTGTGCCATTGAGTACCTCCACTGTGCAGGAACATACATAAGCAGATGAACTCCAGTATGAACTGGGGAGCTGCATCCTTGCAATCTAACGCCCATAGCAACTTAGAAATTCCTGTCTCACCCAACAAATCGGTGTCAGAGAACAAGCAGAGGACAGTCAATATAGTCAACAATTTCAGAGAATTATTTTTCTGAATTCAGCATTTTTTCATCTATAGGCCATTTGTATTCAGTTATTTTTAATGCCATATCACATAATTCTCCAGTACTAAGAATCAAAGCAGCAAGTTAGCAGGCCAGTTCGGAAACAGACTTCATGAAATTGTGGAAAAACTGAAAAAGAAATTCACCCTCGACTCACTCAACCACCACTCAGACTGAGAGTTCACACCGGAGTATTTGAAAACATTGTGTCATTAGTTGCACAAATCATGCAGCAAAAGGTACAGCCCATTCAGTGTGCAGGGCCATTCATACACAGTCATAGAAATCCACAGCAATAGATATAAAAGAGCATTCTTAACATCTTTGTAACTTTAGAAATGCATTCATGTCAAACGCCAGCAGTTCTCCTAACACCCTATTAAAATAAATCAAACTTCTGCTTCATGAGGAAGGTGTTCCACTTAGTCAAACACGGATGCTATTGAACCAATGAGCAAGAACATGGATGAAGCAGAAAATAATTTTCTTTTTCTAAAGAATTCAACTACACATCAAGGGAGATTTTGCAGAGAGCAGGAAAATGCTGTCAAGAAGACAAGTGATGAGTAAGGACAAACCATCTGTCATTGGCAGTAACTCCAGAACTTCTGAATCTTTGGAAGAGCCTGACAATTTATCACAACTATTTCTATTGTTCATACTCAAACCTTCAAATGGGTAAATGCAAGACAATCTAAAGCAGATAAAGCAGTAGTAGTGCCAGCACACAAGCTTCTTGCACGTACAGTAATAAGCAAGAAAGAAAAAGATCTTCCCAACAAAAAGGGCTTGTAATTTAATGGAAAGTGACATAAAAAGTTCTCTGCATCTCTTCTTCCATATAGATACGGGATCACAGGTGCGGGCCAAAATTACAAGACACAGATCAGAACCCTTACAAAGG